AGCATGGCACATGAAGGCATTTTGCTTGGCGCATGCACCTTGGGGCAGACAGTGAGGAAGGGGCTGGAGCTGCACTGGCACAACAAGGATCAGGCCCCTTACAGCTCTCCCACTGTCTACCCCTGGCCTGCCAACATCTTATAAGTTGAGGTTGTGGGTTTTTTGGCACTGCTCAAAAACATTGCTGACCCCTACCCTATATCATTCTTGTGAGGGCTACATCTCTGAGTTGATTTCCCTTGGCTTTCCTACTCTGGTGTATCCATAACACCAACCATTAACCCCCTTCCCCACCTTTTGTCTCCTCTTACTGAATCTTGATTTCTTCCACTTGGGATGCTTGAGACAGTAGAGTTATGTTGAATGCTGCCTACAAGAAGCAATAAATCCTCCAGGAGATGATCTTTTAAAACTTATGTTCTCTCTAGCTATTTGATATGGTGGCCTTAAATTCTTCTTTTCTACACCTTGTGGTCTTGACCGGTTTTCTTGATATGATTTGGCAGAGAGAAGCCCCGAAGTGAAAGATTCAGGAAGAGAAAAGTGTACTGTAGTAAATGCAGTGAAAGGCATATGGAGGAGATATAATGAACAGCAATACAATTCAGTAAGAAAGCTAAGAGCACATCTTTCCAGTTCTACAGTTTTATATGGTTTACGTCTTTGCATACATCATTTCAGTAAGCAAAGGATAAGTGGGTGAAATAGGGATTTATAAGCCACATCAAAATTTTCTGTTGTTAGAAGCATGGTGTGTCCTCTTCAGACTTCTGACTGAAGTGGGAATCATGTTTCTATGAAATCTATGAAATCATGCTTCTACTTCAATCACACTACAAAAAAAATCGTTAAAAGACTTATGCTGTGGCTATGAAAAGAATAAAGGTTTCCCCTCTCCCCCCGCCCCCCTTTCATAGCATTCATGGAGTCCTGACCAGTAGAACTGTTTCACTTATGGTGAACCAGAGCCGTCTACCCTTGGATTGAGGATCAAACGTTTCTTCTTATGAGTTTCCCATTCGACAAAAGCTCTTTGACAAAAGCTCTTTGATTTGGACTGGCTTAGGAGGCTTAGCGCTAGGAGGGCACAAAACAAAGTCTTTTTCCAATTGGATTTCAGCTATTCTTGTTCTTTGAGTTTCTGGATGCTGAGAGTTTCAGGCTACAACCTGCAACTGAGACCTGCCTCTTTTGGGAGATGTTGACTCAAGTATTGGTGGAGATTGTCACCATTTTCTTTCCCTTTAGGATAGGGATTTTCAGCCTGGATGCCATGAGATCTTTTGAATGATGCTGCAGGATGTGAGAGGAGGTAAGCGGAGGCTCAGATTTATCCTTGCCTGGCCACTGTCCTGCTCCCATTGCCCAACCATTCTGTGAGAAGGTAAGTACATTAGTTCTTGAAATGGGGTGCTGAATATTTACGGAGAGTTGCATTGAGTCCAGAATGGTTGAGAACCATGGCCTTGGGAGGACAGTAAGCCAGCATTTCCCAAATGTGTGATAGTCACATTGTTGCTTGAGAAATATCAACCTCTGTCCTCAATGTGCCATTATGGGGC